AATGTGTCAGAGTAATCAAACAAAAGCAGCCAACCCCTTGGGGTGCTTCAGAAGAATCCAAGAACACTGTCTGGGATGCAAATTTAGGTTGAATATGAATGTCATGTCATGGTGGTATGAGTATACTGTACAACATTAGTTATGGTTTTAGACACAGAGAAGTGGGGCATATTTCTCAGATGTTAGGAAACTCAAAGAAGAGGAATGTAGAGTGGAAAAACATCCTGTTTTTATATGTGTGTGCATGTGTTCCATATGTATTGCCTGGCATATGCATTTCTGCATCTGTTTGTTGTGAACATGTGTGTGTTTGTGTGGAATAAAGTGGCCCAGTTTTCTGCTAGACTGACAGTGAGCTTGACAAATGGAGGATTTGGGCAGAGTGGCAGAATGCATGAATGGTGCAGCTATTAATCAGGTTTAGTGACAGATTGGATCCAGATTGCCTTTCTATATCACATCAAACTGAAATGGCCAAAAGCTCTGATTCAACTCATAAACACATTCATACACAATAACAGTTGCTGTGCAGGTGACACAAAACTGTGGATAAATGGACAACTCTCGGTAATGTTAATAACAAGAGTAAAGAAGGGCTACTACCTACAGGATAAGCTATAATGTTAAGCTATAATGTATCTGGATGCAGCTTTGCCTCATCATTAAAATAAAAAAAAAAATAAATAAAAAAAAAATTAAAATGAATGAATCTAATGTGATGTCTTTGCTACCCCGACCATAGTGTCTTCACCTGGAATTAACTCATTCATCACTGATTTTCATTAATATTTCATCAATTTCTGTTATTGTAAATCAAACATTCCATCTTATAATTCACTGTAAAAAGATATTTCACCACCTAATACATTGTTTTCCTCAGAATAGATTAAGCTTATTTAGTTACCACATTGCCATTAATAGCTGCAAAGTAAGTGCACAGTATGTGTTGGTGTTATAAAGTAATATAAGGAGGTGTGTAGTGAGATAAATAAGTATCATTCTTGTTCATACTTTTGTCTTGTTTTTTTTCATAATATGTCACATTCAGTGTGCAATGTAACATATAAAATGATACTGTATTATATTATAACATCTTTGCAATGACCTCAGACATATATTTAGACAATATAAGATCCTTCCACTTAAGAGTCTTATAAGAATTAATTGCATCTCTCTCACACTACCTACATATAGCAAGCTAAGCTTTTACAAAAAAAGAAGGTAGAGTAGGGGAGCTTTGAATCCTCTTCGCTTGCGTGTCTAGTTGTCATGGTAACTCAGCAACCTTGTCCAATTTCTTCTGTCAGCATGCACATTGGAGAGACGAGCCGGGCCTAATCAGCTTGTATCTGGCCTTGTACTTAGTGCTGAGACAACCCAGTCTGTCTGATGTCTGGTGACACTAGATAATGCCCTGAGGCATGACTACACACACACAGACACGCAAACTCACACACACACCCACACCCAGTAGGGGCATTATGCATGTCTCAGGGTTCATCCAAAGTTAGTAAGAATAGTAGACATATTTATTTATATTTATAAACAGCTATAGACAGTAAAAATATTTCAGTGTTTCAATGGATAGTGCAATTATAAATAAATCCTTTCTATTATTGTATTATATATACTATATGGACAAATAGTGCAATTGAACAACCAGTAAATTCATCCCAGTTTTCACGAGAAGTCCGGTTGGTTAAAATCTATCCACTGTCCACTGATGGAGTGCTGAGTACGAAGGTGCTTGTGGCAACTGCAGCCCCAAAGCCACTACAGCAATCGCAGTCCCAAGCCATTACAGTACAGCTCCCCATATGTGATCCCCAAGCCATCTCCACAGCCCCCAGGTGGCTCCATCCCCGGCAATCCAAACGGTTCTTCAGGCCGTCCATATGGGGCCCCCCAGCAGCGAGCGAACTCAACCGATGAGAACTCCAACCAGAAGTAGGGCATCAGGATGGGTCAGGCAGGTCCGGGGAGCACATCCAAACTCATGTTCAAAAGTAATTATCATACAACTGGCATCACTAAATTGATTCTAATTAACCTCAAATAAAGATCAGCTGTTTCTGTAGGATTTCAGCAGTCGAGTAAATAATTGAGTAAATTAAGCAGTCGAGTAAAATAATTTAGTCAAACTGAGTAAATAATCCACTTTGTTCATGTTCATTACGCCCTCGCCTGAGTCATTAACGCGAATGCTGATGACATTTTATGTAAATGTCCCCAAAACAGGCTAAAAGAATCAAATGTGTAATCACCTGGCACTACTGTTATTGATTGGCTGTACAAATCTACAGCGCTGGGCATGTTAGACTTAGCCCTTCATACCATTCTGTGTGTTTTTATTACCTGCTGGTAGTGCTGTTTCACTCAATGAAAATCCAAAATAATCCTTTTTAAAATGTTTGTTAACCACAAATAAGATGATGTGGATGCCAAAAACGAAACCTTATATTGAAATGTTTTCTAGTCTTTGAAAGATGGGGCACTTAGCCCTGCTAGCCCAATGCTATTGAGGATGTCCCTCCAAAACTGACAAAAGGACAAGACAAAAACTTACCAGGGATGCTGCCAAGAAACCTATGGCAACATTAAAGGAGCCACATTCCAAAATCTAGCAGAAAGTCTTCCCAGAAGAGTGGAGGCTGTTAAAACAGCAATGGGAGGACTGAATCTGGAATGGGACGTTCAAAATACGCTCAAAATTTGGCCATATAGTGTATTTTGGCCCAAAACCTGCAGGCATGGTAGACAGCTGAAAATGAAGAAAAATTTTACTTTCTAAATGCAGGGGGCCCCCTCGTGCTCCATGCCTTGCATGCCCCTTCTCTACATCACTGCATACCATGTCAGTTGAGCATGTATTTCCTTAGGTAATGCCACATGTGCTGCAGTTTATGTGTTTTTGGAATGAGCTCTTCTTTACACTTATAAGTACTTATTAGATTTGCATTAAATGTTTAATTAACATGACTATATTAGGAAATATATGGAAATGATTTCGATTATTATTATTATTATTATTATTTTTTTGCCCAATTAGATTTTGGCAATTTGAAGTCAGGTCCATAAGTATTTGGAAAATGACATAATTTTCATATTTTTGCCTCTGTACACCACCACAATGGATTTGAAATGAAGTGTAGACTTTTAGTTTTAATTCAAGGGGTTTAACAAGAATATTGCATTAACCATTTAGGAATTACAGCCAATTTTATATAGAGTTCCTGCATTTTCACAGGCTCAAAAGTAATTGGACAAACTAACAATAATAAATACTAGGATTATTTTTAATATTTGGATGCAAATCCTTTGCAGTCAATGACTGCCTGAAGTCTGGAACCCATGGACATGACCAAATGCTGAGGTTCCTCCCTTGAGATGCTTTGCCAGGCCTTTAGTTTTATATTCAGTAAGTGAAAAGCATGATCACTTTGGTTGAGGTCATTGGACATTTAAGAACATTTAATTTCTTTGCCTTAAGAAGCTTGTGGGTTGCTTTCGCGGTACTTTTTGGGTCATTATCCAACTGTACTGTGAGGCGCTGTCATATCAGCTTTGCAGCATTTGACTGAATCTGAGCAGAAAGTATAGCTCTATACACTTCAGAATTCATCCTGCTACTTCTATCAGCAGTCACATCACCCATAAACACCAGTGACCCAGTTCCACCAGTTGGCAGCCATACATGCCCATGCCATAACACTCCCTCCACATGTTTGACAGATGATGTGGTATGCTTTGGATCATGAGCCCTTCTTTTCCTTCTCCATACTCTTCTCTTCTCATCATTCTGGTACAAGTTATTCTTGCATCAGAACTGGTCAGTCTTTTTTTTTTTTTTAGCAAAGTCTAATCTGGCCTTTCTTTTCTTGAGTGTTACCAGTGGTTTGCATCTTGAGGTAAACCATCTATATTTACATTAATATTCATGAAGGTGTCTCTTGATTGTAGACTTGACAAAGGTAAGATAAAATTGATAGATCCTACCTGAGGTAATCATGTTATTTGCTAAAATATGATCATATATTAAGATATTAAGAATTTAAAATGTACAGTGGGATCTGAAAGTCTGACACCACATTGAAAATCAGTTTTTTTATTTACAATTGGAAATAAACAGAAGGATTTAGAATTTTGAAATATTTAAAACAAAGAAAGTAAATGTTTAATATCTTTAATATATTTTTTTATATTGAATATTTAATATGTTAAATGCTTTGTACAAAAGGTCAGATTGTCCTCATGCCTATTCTTTTCTATTGAAGCACGTGTTCAGACGACACTCCAATGGATTTGATCTAAAATGGATCATAAGGTTTTGCACAAACTTATGGAGTCCATGCCAGCTCGAGTGCACATTGTCATTAAAGCAAAAAGGGGACATTCCAAAAAATCTGAAAGAAACTGAAATTCATGTAAATATTTCAGCGATTCTACTTTTCACTCAAGTTGTTGTCAATAATATAATTTGTAATGAAAACTTTTGTATTAAATTAGAACAGAATGCAGAACAGAAGCATTTTATTCTCAGACTTTTGGACCCCACTGTATATTAATGAAAATAAATCAAATATTGTTATAAACAACTACAATGAGACAGATGACAGATGAGTGAGAATGAGAGAAGGCAAAACGTGTGTTTTAGTTGATTGCAGGCCAGCTGTGGCACTGCATTTTGGATAAACGGTTTTGTGGTGTAGGCTGGCCTGCAGATAGATACAAGAGTCAAGCTACAAGATATGTGTTGCATATTCCATCAAGAGTTCCTGTTGTGTGAATCTGCAGTATTGTAAGATTGCAGCAATGTTGTTGTTGTTCTTCTTCTTTCGGCTGCTCCTGTTAAGGTCGCCACAGCAGATCATTGGTCCACATATTTGATTTGGCATCAGATGCCCTTCCTGACGCAACCCCCCCTGCCCCCCAGTTTTGTCCGGGCTTGGGACCAGCCCTGGGAATGCACTGTTGTGTGCACCTCCAGTGGCTGGGGTTGGTTTCCTGGCCAGGAATCGAACCTCCGCTGCAGTGGTGAGAGCGCCAAGGCCTAACCACTAGTCTTCCAAGTACCCATTGTAAGATTGCAGCAATATTGTCTATAAAGGTTAGCTGGTAGATAGAAAGCCCAACAACTTTGTCTGGATTAAAAAAATCTGGCAATGAATTTTGAAAGAGATGGCTCTTATTGGTGAGCTGATCTAAGTGCTGTGACTCACTGAAAAGAGACGTAATTCCCATCACTAGCTGCTAACCTATTACTCCCTGTGTGGGGAGCAAACACATTAAAATGGAAGCTGTGTGTGATTCTGAATTTGAAGCTCCACTTATATGTGTGTATGTGCATGATAACAACATTTAGCATGGGTACTTAGTCATGGCATGGGTCACTTAACAGTGGAAACAATGACAAAATGCAGGGCCTTGGTTAATTTACAGAGTTGTTCTGTACTGCACCATTCAGTGGAGAAGCACTATTAGACTGTTGCCCCAATTGGGAGCTTATTTCTATTCTAACTTTCTATTTTAAACCGCTAATCCTCTGTCTAACTCTAGGTGTCTCCCCAGTTAATCCTATGCAGCCCTACTGGGAGATCAAAAAAAGCCAACACATTAAGGATTCTATGTAATTATTTCTCAGGGCAGTTTGAATTAGCAAAAAAACTGGGATTAAACTAGCCTCAAACTCGGCTCTTTAATAAGAACTAGTCTTTAATAAGAGTGGTTAATAGTCACATTAAAACTCCAAGATTATTTGTAGAGAGGCATAAACTGAACTTTATGTAATTTAGTCTAAAACATTTGATAAATGTGGTAAAGCAACCAAGTATTATACACAGGATTATAGAGAACTCCACTGGGAACGCTGGACGAACTGAGGAGGGCAGGCTGAGTGTGGGTCCCGGCCTGTTATGAACTCTTATGAACTATGAATGTGCAAGTCATATTTTGTTATTCTGTATGTTTCATTATTCTGAAACATTCAGGGTAAGTCAAACATTCTGAGTAAGTGAAACCTTATTTAGTCAAGAAGGAAAGACTTAAAGCTGGTGTGTGCGCGCGTGTGTGTGTGTGTGAGCGAGCATATGCCATGGCCTACAAACCTCTCTGAGCGTCACTCAGATCTTCAGCAGCACCCATCCAACCAGCTGGAGAGGATGTGAGCATGTCTGTGTGTATGTGTGGGCTGTGTGTCAGTCAGCTCTCTCAAGAATCAAAAACACACCCTGTCTGTTTTTTTTTTTTGGTTAGGAGTGTCAAGTGTCAATTTTCTCTCTTTTTTCGGTTCTGAATTTACTGTGACATAACACTGAGTGTGTTTGTCATCATGCCCTAAAAGATTATTTAGGCTTTTGTTAAAGTTCGTTTTCCTTGAAAGAGATACTGTAGCAATGTTTTACTTTCCCTGTTATATAGCCTAAAGAAAATTACAGGTTTAGATATTGCATGAAATGTTATTTTAGAAAATCCCACCACAATATAAAGAACAAACTTTAAAAAATGAACATTGTAGACTCAGTATATAATCCCTCTCTCTCTCTCTCTCACACACACACACACACACACTGTTAGTTTGGCGACTAGCAGAGTGGTAAGGCTAAAACTGTCTCTCCAGGAAATGAAAACTGGTGCAGTTCACAACATTCTAAAAGGGGAAGTAGTCATGACGTATTACTTATGTGCATCTCACCATCTTTTACACAGAGAGACTACCAGGTTATTCTTTAGAGAAGAACATGGAAAAAGATGAAAGGTAAACGCAACAGAAACAGGAAGGGCACTGTCTTCACTCCATTTTCTTTGGTTCCTTTTCTACTTTTATCTCTTTGAATGAGATCTCTATTTTCATTCTTTTTTTCCTTTCTGTGTAAACAGGGTCACATCAGATAACTGTCTAACCTCATCTGAGCTGTTGCTTGTATCTATGTTGCTCTACAACCACAGTCTAATCTTATACAGCATGCCAAAGCAGTAGGCAAGCATATAGGAGGCTGTGGAATGAAGTTTCTCATGTCTTCACTCCTTGTACTACTCCAGGTCTGTGTGTGTATGTGCGTGAGAATCTTTCTGTCCCAACCCTTTATACCCTTCAGGCCCCTCCTGGCACTATGGGTCACAGCGTTTATGTCCAACTGTCAGGAGACATGGCCATAGGGGACAAGCAGTCCAAATATGTCTGTCTGCATGTTATGCTGACCCTCAAATCCTCAAATGGCTTAAGAGGGCTTGGGCATCACTTCTATGACTGCCACTCTACACTCAATTGACTTGTCCAAGCTAGACCCTCATTTCTTTTTTTGTGATACTGCCTAACATTCAAACAAGGATATTTTTATGGGCCCTGTTTTATTCTGAAGAGGTTTGTACAGAATTGTTAGAGCCCTGTGTCACTCTGGCCTGCTAATCTCAACTGTATGCACAAGAGCTGATTCATTAATGTGGGGTGCTAAGTCCCCAGTGGTGTGTGAGAGGCAAATGAGGGGAGAAAGAATGCAGCAAAAGTAAAGAGCTGGAAACCAGGATGTCTGCAATCTCCCATCCCAGAATTCAACACAGTCAATCCAAGCATGTGCCTGTCACTAACTTTCTTTGTTAGCTTTATCTGGTTGTATCTGTCTGATTCTGTCTGAATCTACTTGCCTGTCATTCTGTACAACTCTCTCAATTTTATCTGCTTTCTCTCTTTCTTGATGTCATATATCTTTCTCACTCCTTCACTTCATTACCAGTGTATATACACCTCTCCAAGCCCAACTGTCCAACTGCCTGCTTGTCATAGCATAACTGAAGTGCAGCAATTAGTAAACCGTAAGTGATCTGTGTACAGATGAAACTGGTCTGATGCAGCACTTTAGCACTCTGCTAATTCTTTTTTTCTATTTGCTGTTTTTATACAAGAAATTTCAGGATAAATCTGGGGATACACAAGTTCCTCTATTTTGTTCACCAACCATTAGAAAAGAGTTGTCAGAAGGTCCCTGGTATTGGCAAATCCTCTTGAATAAAAATTGTGAATTATAGGGATTCTGGAAAACCTTCCCAACATAGTGCCATTTAAAGAAATTTTTCCCCTTTTACTGGACATAGGTTTTTAGCTAAACTTCATCATCAGATTGTGACTTCAGACCAGTTTTCCAGTATAAGGTACTGGAAGCACAACCAATTAGACTCCAAATGGACCCACTTAGCAGTCTGTACTGGTTGAAATGAGGGATACATCAATACTGATACTGGTATTGGCCCAACACTGTGCTCATTTACTCATACTCATATTCATAAAAAATGCCCTGATACCAACATCCCATACCAGGTGATACTGTAATGTGACGTACAGCTAATGCATGTGGTCATGATAATGAACAGATGACAAGAAATGCAACAATTTGGACATACACACGACTAATGATCAAAGCAAAGCAGACTGCAAACTGTGCTCTGTGAAAATCAGAACTACAACATCTTCCTACAAGTAACCTAGTAACATCTTGAACATAAAACTCAAGGAGCTCATTGCTAGGGGCACACAGCAGCAAACACTGGTTAGGAGAGAAAAAATGTCTACAGATAAAGTAAGTTGAGTGAAAATAACAGCTTCTACCCAGTTTGTTGTTCTTGATGATCAGCCACTATGAGTCCTGCACAAAGAGGGATTCCGACAAAATAAAAAAAACAATAAAACAAAAACATACTTTAACAGCTGTACAGAAATGCTTTTCTGAAGTGAAACAAAACTCAATCTTATACACTGCAACCCTACTCAATCCAAGGTAACTAATGTTGCTAACTTCATTTAAAATCAATTCTCTAATGTTTTAAAGAACGAGCCTAGTAGTCTGTCCATGAACACGCATGTGCATGAACACACAAGTGCACGCTTTTAAACCGCTATTTAAACCAGGGAAACTTAATGTTCTGTGATGCCCCTGCTTACTAAAGGCCAAAGCACACCCGGACACGTCGTGTAAACACCTCATTCAATTCTATTTAATTAATTAATTAATTAATTAATTAGTGATTAGCACATTTGCCTTGCACCTCCAGGGTTGGGGGTTCAAATTCCGCCTCCACCCTGTGTGCACGGAGTTTCCATGGACTCCCCGTGCTTCAGGGGTTTCCTCGGTGTACTCCGGTTTCCTCCCCCAGTCCAAAGACGTGTTGTAGGCTGATTGGCATTTCCAAATTTTCCATAGTGTGTGCCCCGAGTTCCCTGGGATAGGCTCCAGGCTTCCCTGCCACCCTGTGTAGGACAAGTGGTACACAAGATGGATTGATGGATTATTTTTTGCTTGCGTAAGTGAAGCATAAACACCATAGAAATCTGTTGAAATCACAAAACCACACTTTTTCTACTTCATTTACTTTATATGTCATAAACTACAAAGATACAATGACTGTGCATACTGTAGGTGACAGATCACTACTGACAAAATAGACTTTGTTATGAATGAGACTTAGCAAAGTAGCCACTATTTTTTGCTTTTCTTCCCGCTTTACATGAAGTCGGTTGTGTTAGCACCCTCTTCATGACAGTTTGGCAAAAAAGTTACAGTAATTAGTAAATTGTAACGCGGAGTCAACAGAATGGGGATCCATTAGCAGCGTTTTAATAAAAGGCAGACACAGTCGTACAGGCGTGGTCGGGCAACAGCGAAACAGGGTAATCAGAGGCAAAACAAAGGCAGAGTGATCAAACAGGCAGATGGTCAGGGCAGGCAGCAAGGAATCAGAAACGAGAAGAAACAGTCCAAGGTCAAACA